ACGTGAACGGAAGAAGTGCTCGTGAAAAAAAAGAGGGGAAAGTTCGGAACTTTGGCAGATGTCCATACCTCGGCACGCACGGCACAGGGCTTTCTTTCCCGTTCTCACGAGAAGTCAGATCACCCGGTCCCGCGATATCGTTTTATTGTCTCTGAAATTTAGCGACGTCCATCCGTACCCCATCGTTACCTTATGCCCGTATCACACTACGCATTCAAGATGTTGAACGTGAATTATAAAAAACTCTGCCAATTCGATTATATAAATTATATCATCTGCAAATTTATTATTGACGAGCGAATAAACGATGAGCTTCGTAAATTGAATACGTAAAATAGACGATATGAATTTACACCCGTTTATTAACTGTTTTATATCGAAAGTCAGCTTTTACGGTCTATTGTATACATCGTGATATGCATATGTTACTTATACGTGTATTTTATGTATATTGAAGATATACCTAAGATCTTAAAGCAATTTTTGCACGATGACAAAAGACACGCTCGTTCATTTTCCTAGATAAGTAAGCAGCTGTTGGCGGCACCTGCTTCTGTTATCGCCTTTCAAGTAAAAGCTACCGTATAAATTTACCCGAATATTTTTTGTTGACAATTTGTTGAAGTAATTGAACGACGAAGGTCATCCCTTTTATGTATGTTTAACTTTTTCATTTCAAGAATAATATGGGATTATTTCTATAGACCTTTAGGAGCAAATGTTTAATTTCTATAATTTCTAACTGCTTTTATTAAGTTAGTATAATGATTTTTTAACATCTGACATCGCAATTAACAACATAGTACAAAGCTTTTATATTATATTCGAGTTACAGAAAATTTAATTTTACATGGCGCTGTATAAAATTTCGGATAATATGCAAGTCTTTCCATTTAAAGATTTATTATTATTTTATATATTGCATTTAGAAATTTAATATATTCAATTAAAATTTATGTAAAATTTTATTTTTCCTATATGTAGATATACATATAGGTATTTTCTACTAGTTTTTTTTTCACCTTCTTTTTATTTACCAACTGAATCTGATTAAGTGGGAATATCCCATCTGTTCACTATCTCTATCCAGATAGAGGACGTTTTATTGTATCGAGACCACGATTAAGCTGGTGTTTTTTTTTTTCGCGAATGGTAAGGAATGTGGAAGAAGTTCTTTTAGACATGCCACGTGTCTGAAGGATTTAAATTCAAGGAAGATACAGCAGTTATAAGTTCTGCGAAGACACAAGCCTTTACGTAACTTACCGGGAATTCTTGTGCTAATTTGATCTCCTTGGCTCCATCGCTCTCATTAACAAAAATTAATATCATTTCCAGAGTTTACCTATATCGAAGATATTGGCTGTGTTTGAAAATTCACTGCCAGTACTGAAAATCTAATTTACATCACATGCACTATAGATTTTCAGTATTGGCAGTTAATTTTCGAACACAATTATTGTAAACGTACAAAGAGAAGATACAACTTTCACTTTTTCGCGACCAGTTGAGGATCGTTTTATTTCTACATTTTTTAATATTTTTTTCATAGGAATAAAAAATTATTATTATTATGACGCTACACTCATTATAATAATAAGGAAAAATTGGTACATTAAATTAAAGAATAAAATCCTTATTCACATTAAAATCTCTATGAGTTATGCTTCGACCACTTACAAATTAATTCAGAATTATTGGTCCAACTTTCTCTCTCTCTCTCTGAATTAATTTTTAAATGATTGAAGGCATTATTATTATAATTTTCTATTTCTTTGAAGAAAAATACGTAAGAAAATGTAGAAATAAAATGATCCCCAAACGATCATAAAAAAGTTCTATTTTCCTTTCAGAGATACTCTTCACATTTATTTTTTAAAAATCGTCGTTCAAGTTATCTGAAAAGTAAATTGAAAATTGAAGTTGTTTTTGTTTATTTCTAATTTTAAGTCTGTTTTTTATTGCTGCACTCTATGAACTGGTGCACACAATGCAATAAATTGAAGTGAAACAAATATACGTTTATTTTATTTCAACTTATTGGCACCATGTACATCAGAGAGTGCAGCGATAAAAAAACAGACCTATTATGTTTGTCTCGTAAAAGTAATTTTTCTTACTCTATTCTACGGGAAAGTTGTAGTGTAAGTTAGGAAAAATCTATATTAAACTCCGAAAACATATAAATACATTTAAACAACTATAGCTTTTAATATTATTATTCCGACAAGAATTACTGATTGCTATGCTTTTCCGATCGCGTTTTATTTTCTTACGATGTGTTTTACACGATTTCTCAAGTATTTCCAAGAAGGTGTTTGGTATTGATGTAAACATAAGTACACCTGCGGAGGGATGATATTTTTTGTAGATTAATAAAGTTGCATGGTATGATGCTATCGATACTTATCAGATAAAAATCGACTGTAATTATTAGTCGAGGTGTGCGATTAACATCTTAATTTATCGTTTCGTGCTTTGCTGCTCTTGTACTCTCAATCTACTGGCATGACGACTATAGCTTTGTCATCAGTATGTCTGTGTTATGTTCGATAAAACGAAGTTTTTACTCTGGAAAAAGAGTTTGGTTGCATTAATTGGAATTCTGATTGAAAATGGACAAATCATAATTTGTTGGTTGAATCTATTAATTGTAGTTGAGATATAATTAGAATTCTGATTGAGATATGATCAGATCTTCTGGTTCGTTTATTTTCAACCAGCAATTTTTCTCACTGTGTTATTCAACGCGATTAAATTACTCGGAAGTTCGCGTTTATCATAGTAGGCGGCAACGTTATGAGAGAGGTTCTTTCTTCGAGCGTAATTAAACGGGAGTGGTGTCATTTTAGCTTGTTTGCATTCCATAGTGTTGAACCGTTCGCGATGACGTAACTTCATCTTTCGTATCGTCTGAATGCGTAGCAACCATGCAGTTTGAAATGAATCGCGTTGGAGTCGCGCACCGCATTTCGTACGCAACAAATTTATCACGTGCATCACTCTTTCACAATCAGTAGTATACCGCAAAGATATTAACTCTATGTAAACAAAATTATTTTCTACGCACAATTATTTTCTAAGCAAGTATGCTTATAAGTGTAGCATTTTTATTGCCAATATATGATATTTTTCTTTCCTCCTGTGATATTTATAGTAGACCTGATTGAAGATAGGGGTTCATTAGAGACGAGGATGTTTCGATCGATGGCTCTCGGCATGTATGAACGACGATAGGGACCCCGGGCCATCTGCAGCACACATATGTTTATAGTACACGCATACGTCCGCGGGTGCTCCGTTGCTATCGTTGCATAAGCTAACTATATTCTCAGTCGCTCACCCCGGATTCTCCCTGGCATATGCAGCTGTTAGGGGCGAGGGAAAGGGGAAAAGGCGAGGGTGAGCAGATTGCACGGCACGTACTGAGGAGCATACGACATTGCCTTCTGTTCTCGGATGTATTGTTATTCAGCGGGACAGTGCACAGACCTACCTCTACGAAAAAATTTCGTGTCCCAGAATTCATAAAAATTAGGTTTTCGGGATTTAATCAATGTAATCTAGAAATCGGATTCTGACTTCCCCGAAGAAGAGAGTTGACATTCTAGTGACATCTTTGATTTTTTCCAAAAATTTTGATGATTGAGACGTAAAATAATAAAAAATTATATCTCTGTGTTGGAAATGAAGGACGGCAGTTTTTTGACAATTTTCTAATAAAGTAAAATAAATTATATTAATTAGTGCGCGCAAGGAAAAAAAGATTTGTCAAAATAACTAAGAACTTGATTTCATTGATTCAGCAAATCTACAGTTGTCAATAATATATGGACAGCCAGTTTTCTATGTTAAAATAGCAAAGTTATACAGCTGAATAAAATTAGCGATTATAGGTTATCACATTTGTAATAGCACAGCAAACTTTTTTAATGCAGCAAGAATGACTTTCTATAAGGAAGATCAATCCAATATATAAACTATATATATATATACATATATATAGAGAGAGAGAGATTAAAATTTTTAACAAAACATGCTAGCTAAGATGGCACATACTTTTGCTATTGCAATGAAAAAAACTTGTTACATTAATAATTTTTATTGTAGCAAAGAATTAGCTGAATTAGTATACTATTAATAATTGTTTAGACATGTTTCTTTATTAAACCATCAAATATATATTTTTTGTTATAGATGTTAAACTCGCACAACAAGCTGTAGCTTTGTTAAATCACTTAATCTATTTTTTCCTAACAATTGTGTCGTCGCACTGTAAAGGACGATCTCCTGATCGGGGATGGTTGGGGAGGGGAGTATGCAAAGGATGCAAAAGCTTAATAAGGAAGCGCTCCAATTACCTACGTATAAAACGTGACAGGAAGTTGCAAAGAAGGGAAGATCAAGTCGCTCGTGACCACAAGAAAACCGGCGTTTTCGCGGTCAGAATTGCTTCCCGAATAATGGTGGTGGCGGCAAAATTAGGAGAGGGCGGCAACGATAAAAGTCGCGCGACAAAAAAGAAGAGTCGAAAGCAGGAAGGATATTCACCCATCCGTGATTTCCCGTCTCAGCCGTTATTTCCCCGGATAGATAGAAGATATACGTGTTCGTTAAACTTCCGTATTTAGCTTTTATATTGTAGTTTTGATTCGCGCGAGTGATTATAAACGACGTTACAGGAAGGAAGACGCTCATTTTCTTACAAGTCTATATTATCAGCATTTAGGAAATTATATTGATACAATCTAATTTCTTACTTCTTATTGTTATTAAGAATATAGAGTATTTTTTATCTTTTTTGTCAATTTTGTCGACAACACGTGCCACTGTAATGAGTGTGGTGCCATGTTATTTGGATGAGGGTGAATCAAATCTTGTAATTACGTTTAGAGACTTTTTAGCTCACTACATTCAAAGAATTATTTATTAACTGATTGCCTACGGTATTTGTTTCAACATGAGTTATCTCATCGCTATGTCATTGTTTACCATTTCAGGTCTCGATCTGGTTACGATTCTAGCAGCGGCGGAGAGTCCGACAACGAGTACAGTACAGTTAGCCAAGGCAGTCAAGTACAAAGTCAAGCGCAAAATCAACTTCCCAGTGTCACAAATTACGGGCAGGGAAAACACATAAATAAAGGACGATGGACCAAAGACGAAGTAAATTTGTTACATACGTCTTTTCAATTATGTAGCACCAATTAATTTTAGCCAGTAGTTTTCTTTTTTTTCTTTGCCGCAAAAGATCCAGTTGATGTTATATTCAGTTTAAATCAGGTAACGCACCTTTCAAGTAATGCACTGAGGGATATGAAGAGGTTGTATGATATCTTACTAAATTCGGGAGCGAATGTCGAGGATAATGAAAATAGTTATACATCTCTAATGAAAACAGCAAATGCATGTTCAAATTGCCAATATCTTATTTGAACACAAGGCTGGCATTAGTAATTATTCGATTATCATGATTTTATTTACCCAATTTTATTGTGTTTTGGTTCTTGCTTCTGTCATAATGGAATGATCTTTTTCCAAAATTTTTACAGAATGTTTCATATATGAGAAAATCGAGGAATTAAAGCCGGGCATGATCTTCTGCTTGACAGACAATTGTTTTATTATCAAACTATTTAACATCCCAAATATTATTTATCACAGAAATTTTTTTATTTCATTTTATATCGAGTCACTCTATCGAGAATCAATCAGTCTATTGAGAAAAAAAATGTAACGTTTAATAGATTTATCGTAATAAAATTAATATTTTGTATTTTTTTTTATTTGACCGAAAAAGCTCTTGGCTGATCTTTTAAATTTATATTGGTTCCGGTTGTACGTTTCTATACTTCAAGTATATACATTGTTACACCGTATCGCTTCCATGTAGCAAGTTAAGGGGAAGAAGGATGGGGGGAAAACAATGAACATGCGGATCCCCCGAAAAAAATGTCCACCCCTCGTATTTTCTGCAGCGAGTTGCGCCGCCGTATCGGGAGGCAGATGCTTCGGTTACCCCATAGAACATAGGGTGCACTTACGTGGCTTCACGTGGGAAAGCCTACGAGAATCGATCGATCTCTCATGCGTCCGTCCTTATTTCGTATATTCAAGGCATGCAAATAAAACGCTGTGGGCAAGGTGGAATGAAATATTTTCGCTTTCCTACACGTCGCTTTTCCTTTTGCAGGACGCTTTATTGAAACAGCTAGTAAGCAACGCGGAACAACAGGGCTTGCGATGGGACATTATAGCCAGCCAGTTTCCAGATAGGAGCGATGTACAATGTCAACAGAGATGGGCGAAGGTCGTGAACCCGGAACTGGTCAAGGGTCCATGGACGAAGGAGGTGGGCAGTTCTTGCTAACGTTCCGTCTTCATCATCTTGAAAATCTTTCCCAAATTCTATCTCCAATGATCTTACACTGAATATATGAAATGTATGCGTATATCCAATACTTACAATCACACTCAACTTGGATTCTCTTGTATATAGCCACAACTTAAAAATCATTATGTTTTAAAGAAAAATATAAGTTTTCCGAGGGTGTTTCTCACGTTTCAATGTTTCTCGTGTTGTTAAGACGATTGACAAAATTATCTCTATTTATTTACATCAATACTATTTTTAAAAAATAATTTTTTTTCAAAATTTATATTTTCAAAATTATTTTTAAAAAATATTATAGACCTAGATAAATAGAGGTAATTTAATTATAAAACTTTTGTGTGTATTAGACAATTTTTTAATATCTCGAATTTTGAGATATAACAAAAAAAACTGAAAACTGCTTTACATATAATTTATTTTATTTTTTAAAATTGGTTGTTTGGTATTGATATTTGCTAAATTTACCTATTTATATAAAAATTAAGTGTATAAAATTTTATTAAAATTAGAATTTGTTACTTTTTGGGGTTCTCTTGTAAGTATTACGGTTGAGATAACGCGAAGTATATCGAGCGTTTCATACGCTAGCATCATTGTACGGCACTGCACATACCACCTACACGAGACGAACTGCATACAGACACAAGGATCTCAGCACTCGTGTCTGCCACTCGCCTCGGTGGGGTATGCAATAAGAAAAAGCTCTGACCGCAGTGATGCTGCGTCGTTGTGCCAATGCACTTGGCAACAGCCAAGGGCAAGTAACGCGGCTCCGGGAATCGAGTACGCGTACGTGCGATTATGGCGTTTCCCACTGGTATCCCTTAGTTGAGATACCTGCTTGGTATCCCCTTATACTTGCAGTGTCCTATAACGAAACAGATTATTTATAATATTATGTTCAGACAATGTCGGATGTTTAGGGCATAACATTTTTCTTGAAATTATTTTTTGGCCATTGAAAAGTTGACGAGATCGTTTGGTTATTTCATTATCGAGTTATTATTGAATAATATTTTATTAGCATTGAAGAGATTTCCATATGTTGCATTTATATATTAAAAGCAACTATTCAATTTTTTTTATAAGACAGATAATCCATACAAATTTCTTATTATTATAAAATATTTTCTTAAGATATATATATATACAGGGTGTTTCCAAATTAAATGGCAAAATTTCGGGAGCGTGTAGAGGAGTAAAAAACTAAGAAAAAAAGTCCTATAGACATATGCTCCTTTTTGCTTTGTTTCGCAGGAAATCACGAAAAAAGAAAAAAATATATTTAATTTATTATTTTAATTATTTTATTTATAAACTTTTTAATGAAGATTTTGTTCGAAATGTGCACCTCTTGCAGCAATACAAGCATTGCA